CTAATTCATTTTCACAAATATTAAAGTTGTGTTCAAAGCAATGAGTCAAACATTACTTTATCTAAAGTTAAGTTTTTTCTGTGAAGAAAGCTCTAGATAGCCCTTTTTTGCTGTCCTTAATAATTTTTTATAAAACTATATTGTTTATTGCTTTATTATAAGATTAACATTAATATTAATGGTTATTAGTTTTAAAACTATCAAAACTTGTTATTAAATTTTTTACTATTGAAAATAAATTAATTATTTCTACATTTTATATGAATATTACATTTAATATAATATATTCTTGTGTTAACATCAAAACCCATTTTGATTTATACTATTTTTTAATTCAGATACTAATTGCATAAATAATGCCGCAATTTTAAAACTATATTTCAATTTTGATATATTATTATTGGCTTTGGTTTTACGCTAATTTCATACTCCCATTGAATAGCATATGATTTATTGAAATGTTTTACAAATAGATTTTATTTAATGGACAGTAATATCAAGGATATTTATGATAAGAATTACTATGATACTTATCATTATTTTATAATAAACTCAAACCTGAAAACTCTTTAGTTATTAAAATGTCTGACACTTTTGTCTATTGAAATATACGCTAAAAATAACAATCTATTCATCACTTAATATAATAATGAATTTTAACGCCAAACTCATCACTGATTATATGAATTATAAATAAATATTTGCTATTTTGGCCAATATTTCTGACGGTAAATACAATAGACATTGAATTTTATCTTATTATCGCCGGCAACCCCTCCACACCCCCTATTCATTCACTCTGACATTCCTGACAATCATCAATAAAGTCTCTCTCTCTCTCTCACCCAAACATAGGAAACGATAGACAGTTATAATAATATCTGAAATGATAGACACGTGTGTTAAGTGTTAAGACAATTCCGTAACGATTCCTAATGTTTTTAAATAACACTATTTTTAGCGATCATTACATAAGCCGTTATTGTTTGCCAAAAGTCGTGATAATAATTAATATTCAGACAAATAATATTTCTGACAAAAATGGCAATGAATTCCTATGTCTTGATTTGCGAGACATTCATTTCAAAGTCAATTTACATCACAATTACAATTGATTTAGTATTGAATATTGAAATGAAATAATGTTATTATGTTTTGTTAAGGAAGTGATTATTTTGACCATAAATTCTGTATTTAGTATCAAATAATGTATTTTGTTTCCTACTTTTATGTAATGATTAAAATTGTAATATTTTTATTAAATTTGTTAAATGTTCATTACTTATACAATTTCTCAAGTAATAAATATTGTAATACATTTAATGTTTGTTATTAGTTTCGGATAAAATTAAAAATACAAGTATAGAAAATGCAGTTCGAAATAAATCAAGATAAAGTCTGATTAAAAATTAATAATAATCAAGTAATCTGGTTTAATAGTGAATTAATAAATAAAAATTAATTAAAATTTAAAAATTAAATGGCTTTATATTTTTAAATACCAAGACTTCAATCATGCAGTTAAATGTATGCATTAAATAGTTATTAACTGATAAATTGTTTAATTTTACAAATAATTATATTTTCAAAAAATATTTACTTACTTTTCTGATGATAACTTTCTCATAATAAGTGATTAATAATTAAAATATAATTTGTTTACATTTAATTAACAAATGACATTTGAAAATAATTACTTTTCATTCATAAATTAAATAAACATTTATTTTAATTATAAAAATTCTGTTAAACACACAATCATTACAACAAACATTGGTTTCCAATTGAAATATCGACAGAATATACAAAAAAAACTTTATATCAAATACTATGTGAAAAATTCATTTATTTTTATTATATACTCGTATATAATATGTGAAAGAATTTCTATGCGTTTGTGTTGTTATTATATAATGCTTTTTCAGTTGTGTTTTATTAAATAATAATAACACCAAAAAAGTTTTTTCACTCTTCATTCCCGGCGACCACTCATTGATATTATGTTATATTGTATTAAAAAATTGCTATTTTTTGTTACCTTAACAACGATTCTCGCCTAAAACACAGACATTATATGCATATTATTCTTGATCTGTATATGTAGTGCTCTTTTATCGCACTTTTATAGCGATATTAATAAAAATATAGTGAAAATTGTTTTAGTATATAGAAAAGTGATTTAAATGGCATTTACTGATAATTATGACACAATTTATTAAATAATTTTATAAGAATTTTAATGGTTTTTAGACAAATGTTTGTTTTCATATCATTTTAATTTTAAACTATCAATGACTGCAATTTTAAGCTATAAAACGGTTTCTTATAATTAAAATAACTTTTGATTACTTGAAAAATTGATACTTAAAATAACTTATTTTTAAATTATATTCATTAATTTAATAATAAACTATTCAATATATAATTTTTTAATATTAAAAAAATAAGTTTTGTTTATTTGATTAACAAAGATTTGTTTTACAAAAGAATATGTGCCATTTTAATTTAATTAATAGATTAGCTTATCCAATCTCTATCAAAAGTTGTCATTTTATAACGATTAATTAATTATAAACACCAAATATTTAATCAATAATAATAATGTTTATTATGTTACTAAATTCCTATGGGCGTTTTAAACTAGATCAAATGAAAAGTTAAGTCACACTTAAGTTAGTTTTTTAGTAATATTTTAAATAAATATGATAAGTATGCGTAAAATGTTTGTGATAATTATAATATTCTGTTTAATAAATACAATTTCATCTCAAGGTATGTCTCAACAAAATAATAAATTTTACTAATAATTAAAATTTAATTTAATTTATGCATTAAAGATGAATCAGAACCAGTAAAAAGTTTGCGAAACGAGTTGTTTGTGAAACGAAAGTACGATAAGTATAGTCTACCAGTCAATGATCACAATCAGGCCGTGAATGTCAGCATTTGGATCCGGATCCTAAAGATTGTCGATCTTGTAATTACCAAAATTAACCACATTTTAGACATTACGTCATAATTATAACTAAAATCTCTTATTAGGACATTAAGACTCAAATACTGACACTGAATGCATACATGGATTTGGTTTGTAATTAAGTATTACTTAACATACTTTATAATGTTTGAAACTATTGAATTGGACGCCAAGTATTGGACGGATGAGGGCTTGCAATGGAATCCATCAGACTTTGGAGGACAGACACAACTGATTGTCTCATCGGATCTAATCTGGAAACCGGACATCGGTTCCACAAACTCACCCAACGCTTTCCGATACGACCAACAGATCCGGGAGTCGACGGCTATTGTCTACTCGTCCGGTGGTGTCGATTGGATGCCGCAGACAATGATTAACACATACTGTATGACTGACTTAAAGGACTATCCGTCGGACAGACAGACGTGTGAAATATTGGTTGAGTCGACATATGAAAGTCGATTCGTTAACTTGCAATCATTACATTCAATATACGCCCATGGTCAACTTTCCACTTATGTGTCCAAAAGTAAACTTAGGTTTGAAAACCGGGAGTGGAGTGTTGTCAATGTTGAAGGTATTTTAATAAATATAATTTATTTCTTATTTTAAGCTAAATCAGAGTAGTTTGCAAACCATATACTGTACTAAGAATTTAAATAATACTGATATTTACACATCAAATATATAATTTAAGATAGTGTAAATCTACTAAATGTTAATATGATATACTATATTATGATAGTAACAGAATATAATTGTTTTTAAGGTGTAAAGAATGCTAAAAACTTTCCAAATGAAGGTATAATTACTTGGATATCGATCAGTGTAACGTTGCAGAGAAAACAATCGCTTTTGTATTATTTCATACAAACGCCACGAGTTGTGGCGATTATGGTATCAATAATTATGTATTCATTTCCTCCAAATTCACTAAAGAGATACAAATTGACCGCAATTTCAATCATGTGCTTAACACTAATACAACTCTTCATCGGATCCCAAATAGGGTTCGCGGGAAATAAACGCATTCCTCTCATTGGTAGTGATATTTTGAAAACAAGTTTTCACTTTAAATATTATTATTTGTATTTTTAGTGTCTAAAACTGGTATACATATAGTGTTTATAGCGATTATGACTTTCTGTTCAGTCGTTATCAACAGATTGTTTGCAATGAAATTGTCTTCACATCCGATCGTATCGACTGTTATAAGNCCGATCGTATCGACTGTTATAAGCAATCCATTGATGGCTTTCATAGGAATCGGTGACTATTTATATGAATTGAGTGCCAAAGAAGGCATAGAAAGTGAGATTTGTATTGAATTTAGTGATAAACACATGGATTCGGGAAAACAATGCGTTTTGTTTACTCTACTTTTGGACAGAATTATATTTATTATGTATTTATTATTTCTCATTTCAATATATACTTAAACCGCGAAAGTATTAAAATAAAAATAATTGTTAATAATATTAATATAATATTTATTTAATGAAAAAATTTATTAAATAAGAAATAGTTTTATGTGTGTTTTGTGAATTAAATTACACATTTGGCTACATAGATGCAATTTTAATTTTAATTAATTAGTTTAGTTATCAAATATTTAACTGACAATTTGTGAGGACACTAAGACCCTAAACCTAATACTGGTGATAAATAAAATGTTAAATAATAAATAGTTAACTTTGAAAACCTAATATTGAATATAAAATTACTAAATTTAATATGTTTGCTGATTAGAAATGGGTGTACAAATATACAAGTTTACAACTAAATACAATTATTATGATATTATATATAAAAATTTAATTTTAATATTTTTTAAAAACACAATATGTATCTAATAATTATAATATTGTGTTTTATAAATCCAATAGCATCTCAAGGTATGTCTAAACAAAATTAATAGTTCAGCAAAAGTAATAAATGATTAAAATTACATTTAATTTCTATATAAAGACGAATCGGAATCAGTGAAGAGTTTGCGAAAAGAGCTATTTGTTAATCGAAATTATACAAAGTTTTGTCTACCAGTCGTTAACCACAATCAAGCCGTGAATGTCAGCATTTGGATCCGATTACTAAGGATTGTTGATTTGGTGACCATTATTACAAGAAATAACATTATGATAAAAACTATAACTAAATTAAAATCATTAAATAAGTATAATCTAAATCTCGTTTTAGGACATTAAGTCCCAAATCTTAACACTCAATGCTTTGATGAATTTGGTGTGTATTTAAAAACTCTTTTATTATTGGCTATAATTTTCAAATAATTGAAGAATTGTTAAAATGTGTAAAACTATTCAATTGAACGCCAAGTATTGGACGGATGAGGGCTTGCAATGGAATCCATCAGACTTTGGAGGACAGACACAACTGATTGTCTCATCGGATCTAATCTGGAAACCGGACGTCACTTTCGTTAACTCTCCGCACGCTTTCCGATACGACCAACAGGTCCGGGAGGCGACCGTTATTGTCAAGTCTTCGGGAACTGTCGAGTGGTTACCGCAGATAATGTTCACCACATACTGTATGACTGACTTACGGGACTATCCGTCGGACAAACAAAAGTGTAGATTAAGTATTGAACCGTTTTATGAGTACAAATACGTTGACTTCAAGACATTCACCCATAAAAATGTGTCCAAATATATGCGGATGAAAGGCGTGAGGTATGAGAACCAGGAGTGGGCTCTCATTGATAGTACAGGTATTCCTATAGTTATAACATAACTTGTTGTTATAATCTGCAAGAAATAGTAACAGAATATTCTGTGCGCTATTTTTAGAGAAAAAAAGTATTTTAAACTTTGGCATCGATGGTATATTCGCCAGAATCGCCATTGGGCTGACACTACAGCGAAAACAATCCCTTTTGTATTATTTCATACAAACGCCACGAGTTGTGGCGATTATGGTATCAATAATTATGAACACATTTCCTCCAAATTCACTCAAAAGATACAAATTGACCGCAATTTCAGTCTTAAGTCTAACACTAATACAACTCTTCATCGGATCCCAAATCGGCTTCTCTGGAAATAAAGGCATTCCTCTCATTGGTATTCAAACTAAAATTCAAATAAAAGATACAAATTGACCGCAATTTCAGTCTTAAGTCTAACACTAATACAACTCTTCATCGGATCCCAAATCGGCTTCTCTGGAAATAAAGGCATTCCTCTCATTGGTATTCAAACTAAAATTCAAATAAGTTTTAAAATTTAATGGTTTATAAATTAATTAATTTTCCTATTTTTAGTGTCTAAAACTGGTATACATATAGTGTTTATAGCGATTATGACTTTCTGTTCAGTCGTTATCAACAGATTGTTTGCAATGAAATTGTCTTCACATCCAATCGTATCGACTGTTATAAGCAATCCATTGATGG